GGTGATTTCATCTTCTAGTTAAGAGCATGAGGCTTGTGCCAGAAACACCACTTTGTCACATGCAAGCATTCTGTCTGAATATTGAAACACAAATAATGAGGAATTAATCGAACTCAACAGTTTGAATTGCAACTGTAAGGACAAATACCTCGTACGCAAAGATATTATAGGAATGGACTCTACAGGGAACAGGAACATCCAAGAACATAAGAATGTGCTTTGAAATGTTATCCTTGTAATACAGTAGGTGGCTACTGAATCTAAATGACCCACCACAGACATCTCTTCATCTTTATCCTGGACATGCCAAGTCTACACAAGTAGATCATTCCTGAACTTAATTTTATTCTGTTAATGTGAAGGGGAAAACTCCTGCTCTTTTCGTTGATTTGAACTGGGCCCTTCACCCATTCATCTATGCATGATTTTATATATGTTGACATTTGGACAAGTCACACACAAAACTCAAATGTTTGCTTTGAACAACACAAACAATCAGAAAGAAAAATCATCAGATTCAAACTGTTGTGTCCCCTGACCCAGTCCTTAACTCCCTCAGGATCAACTTAGAGTTGATACATAATACATATGCATCAGCCTAAAGGGTTTGAGAGGAAAAAAACTGTGCTGGAATGACATTCACACAAGGACGACTGCAGCAGCTTTGTCAGGGAGGATTTGATATAGTACATCTGGCAACAGAGTCAAACAAAATACAGTAGTGCTGGCTTTGGAAAAAGTAACATGAATCTAATTTCTTCCAATTCTCTGAACCACTTTTAGAGTTAGTTACATAGTACAGTACAAGATAAACTACCTGTCACTTCTGAAAAGTAATGGAAACAATTTAAGAATTCAGAAATATGCTCATATTTCTGAATACGAGATAAAACCGAGATACCAGTTGCACTCAATCAACTGTATAAATTTGTTCATAAAAAGCACTGGGAATTTCTGCTCTGTATGCTTTTTTGCTAGGGAAAAAACAAAGTTTCCATTCACATTGACTTTATCTCTGAAAAAGTTTCTTTAGCTAAGTCGTGATACTTTTACATCTGTGAATAGAATGTCAATGCTCTGAAAGTCAGCACACAGTTTCTCAATATTGATACACATTAATATAAAAATTAAAAGCTTATAAGAACCTACGTGGTAAAAAAATGTAACTGTGAAGTGATAAATATTCTGAGAAGTTAAAATGTAATAAGATATTACTGCTGACAGGAATTACCCAGCTAATTTTTACTTATACACATTGAGAGACAGATTTTTATTTCTGAAGGTCAGCAAGCAGTTGTTGCAAAAAGCTACGCTCATACGTACTGTGACAGAAAAACTTGCTCTTCTAGTACGACTAATATTCACTAACCAGGAAGATTTTCACAAGATACAAAGAGCAGTTTAACTCTCAACTTAAAGGAGTTCCGGACAACCAGTACCTTTGAGAAAAGGGACTAGAGAAAGTTTGCTCACACTGATGACAGTGGCACGGAAATCTATGAAAAGCTTGTAGGGACACCCACACAGAGATACAGCACAGTCCCCTCCCAGGCACACAGCGGGGTTTCTGCCTGCGACTGGGGGATGGATTTCATTGCATACAATTAAATGAGGGCCAGTTTCTTGTGGCTGTCAAATGAACTCCATTTCTCTGTATCCCAAACAGAATAATTTAAAACCAGTATACAGGGTCCATCAAAGGAATGCCACACACCCACTGCTTTGCAGTTCTCATTCTCCTTTGTAAGCAGAGGAGAAAGCGAAGATCAATTGCAAGATGGGAGACTGCTGCATTGATTTTCAAACAGAATCTTCCATCAAAACCAATGGTGAGCTTGTCTTCAGATACGAGTTAAAAATCCCACACGGTCTGAGTTGTTCTGACATTTGAGCAAAGGTAGATGTCACCTATCAGTCACACAGGGCTGCATGTGTAAGTGAGATGATCATGGACAGGAGGCAAGTCTGAGGATCTAACCTTTGCTAGGATCCATAGGAGAGCAGTGGAAGTCTAAAACAGGACATGAAAAATGGAGCAAAAAATTTCTGGACGGGAGAGGGAATCAGGTTAAGAATAAGTTAGTTTCATAAAACTGTCTCAGGTAAGATAAAGATAGCACTAATTGTTCTACCTATACAAGGAATTTCACATCTTGAGGGATCCTAACACAGCACCAGTCTGACTCCCAGCCTAGCAGAGCAGCTCCTGCCTGCACTGACTGACTCACAGTCCCCCCGCTCACTGCAGCTGGGATGCCTACAGAAGAAAGAAAACACATCTGTGAAAGTGTAGGCAGGCTAAAGACTGGTGAGCAAACTGATTTCACACAAAAAGCAGCAGATTGGCTGTCATATAAAACCCCAAGACTGACCTATTTCACACAGACACAAGATCCAGGAGCATGGAGCAATAATCAACTTGCATTCAGTTCGATAGATAGAGCATAGCAGGAGAGTGAAGGGGAAAAGTATTCTGAGCAAGAGAGTCGAGGAAAATCAGCTATACATTGCTATATGTCCAACTCTAGCAAACACTGCAGAATGTTTTTCCAGGAAAGGCTAGACAGGGGAGACAGGAAAACACACTAAAGTCCCCGCTACCATTTCCTCCCTCAGGAACAAACAGACCCCGAGACAAGCCACAACAGCCAGGATCATCTCCCAAGTCTTCTTTACAGTGCTCCTGAGCACTGGAGAGCAGCACTGTTCACCCTCCTCCACCAACAACTGGATGGCAAACCTAATTGGGGAGGGTGAGTTCCCTAGCTCATAAGCAATCTCTGCTAAAATTCATATAATGCAAAGGTGTATTAACCAAACAGCACATTTACCACTGACTTCCCACAGAATGGGTACAGAGCCATAAAAAAAAAAAATTAAAAAACACCTGATCTCCTTCCAATATGAATATATTGGAAGGGGCACAAGGGACACACATCATAATCTTTTGGGAAGATAAAGTATAGCTCATCTTCCCAGCTTCAGGCTTTGTGTGTGTTTGTGTTGTTAGGGTTTTTTGTTTATTTTGAAGACAGGCTTCTGTTAACTATGTCATTTTTTTATTTATTTATCCCAAAGACAATAAAAAGCTGTCAGCGGAAATTTGTCTCTCATGTTTCTAGCAAGAGTTCCACATTCAGACCTCCTAAAACAGAAAATTTCCACCTAACAGATGAAAAGTTGCCTTATCCCCAAGGGGATTGGACTCGTCATTTGGTGGCCTTCTAGCATCTTCCACCTTGGCTGTCTCACACCTAAAATCGTTCAGAAAGCTTTGTAAACAGAGTCTCCTGAAATTTGCCAAGAGAACCGGAAGGGTGAAGAAACTGACAATAAGAAGCTGACACTTCTTGCAGAAAACTTAACTGAAAACCTTATTTTCCATCCAAAAGATTAGGCAGGGAAGTTTTCATATAATTCTGATTACAAGGTGCCTATGTTAGCGTGGTTAAGCTACCAACAACAGCGACACTGGTGAGCCAGAGTATGAGAGACAGCTCCCTCCTGCAGCTGTCCAAAGACATGCTTCAGTGGAGATCAGCCAGAATTTAGAACACCCTCCACAAAAAAAAAAGGGCATTAACCAAGATTTTGAAAGCTCTTAATACCTCCACTCCCATCCCACCTGACATGCACTCTGCCCAGGGTCTAGCTCCAGTGAATTTAGATGTACATCAAGAAGGATTATGAGCATATCTTAAAATAAAGATCTAATTCCTAAAAATTATCTGCTACCTGATGTATGTCACCTTGACAGGTCTACTACCTCCCTCTCTCCTGGCCCTCCAAGAACTCTACATTCATCGATCACTTGCACTACCAAGACAGTAACACACACAATTGCACAACAGAAAAGCAGCTGTCGGAGCCTTATAAACCATGTGTAACCCAAATGGGCACACTCTATATGGGACTAGAGTAGGGCTTAACAGCTGTCCAGCAGTTTCCACAATGGAAACAGCCCACACGAAAAAGCACAATCACTTATGATCAAAAAGGTACAATAAGGGTTGCAATCTATTTATTTCCAGATCTATGCCACTCGCATTAACAACCTAAATACGTGTCAAACAGAAAATGGGTGCATGTTATCCTCCTGGTGATTTTACAGCATCACATTCCCTCCTCGGAGTTTATGCTAAATCCTTTGAATTGTACTAAAATCTCAACCTATTTATAGCTTCACAATACAATGAATACAAAGCCATAATCTCCAACAGTTAACGACAAAGCATATCGAGAATTCTTAAAAGACAATTTTTCTACATTCAAAAATTCACAGAAGATTTAACCTAATCTCTCACCTACTGCATGCTGAGTTTGTGTTCCATCAGTATAATTCATCTGAAATAAGAAGAAGTAATAAGTTACGGCCAAATTTTTTGAACACACGTGCAAACTATATTATCTGAGGAATG